ATATAAAAATATACAACACACTGGTAAAGAAATATATACAATCAGACTTGGAAAACTGAAATTCTGTAGTAGAATGGTATGTCAATTTGTTAATAAATATGCAATACAATAAGAGGTAAATCAAAAACATAAGAGGGGACAAGTAAAAGTGTAAAGCTGATGCCATTGTAATAACCTGGTAATTATTTAACAGTAAAGAAGGGAAGGGAAGGCTATATATAGGCATACAATTTATCCAGCTTTGCCAAAAAGCTGCATTTAACACTCTCCAAGTCTGTTCCCCACTCATTGATGGGGGAAGGGACTAGCCAAAGGCAATTTAGACTCATGCCCAGTGAGGTCTGATGATGTGGGAGGCTAATTGCCTGTCAATCACACCTGTAAACAAGTAATTGGCCAGGATGGGCGTGGCCGCTGCAAGGGCACAAAACCTAAATATTTAAACTTAACAAAGAAGTGAGCTCTCTCTTGGGACTCCTGCTGCAGGGGCTGCGCTCTCCCGTGCACATGGTGCATGGCTATGTTGGGCTCCCCACGTGGACTAGTGGACTTTGATCTGGCCTGAATGCCAAACCACACCGGCTGCAACATGGAACGGGAACTCTGGATACCGCCCCGTTTTTGACTCTGCTGAACTCCCAGCTGCACCTCTTCCAGGACTGGCTTAAGGGGCTGGGGACTTTGGAAGCTGAGAAATGTAACTTTACACAAAGGAATCCTTCTTCCACATTCCATCCTCCAGTGGGGGCTTCTGAAAATGTTTCTTTCAGCAGCCCCCCCTCCCCCCAGAACCTCACTCCCCCCTATGTTAGGGGAGTTTCATCCACTGGCAGCAAAGCCTTTATAGGCCATCAAAGTTACTATCTTTAATGGGCTTTATTGTCTGTGAGATGTCTTATGTAAGCCTCGTGTTAACCAAGATGTAAAAACCTAGAATAAATTTGCAAAAGATAAAGAGGAAACAGAGTATACCACCACAGAAAATTACCAACTTACAAAGGTAGAAGAAAACAGAGGTCATACAATGGAAATACAAAACAACCAGAAAGTAAGTAATAAGACGGTTTCACTAAGTCCTTACATACCAAATAACTCCAAGTGTAAATAGATTGAATTCACCAATCAAAATGCAGAGAGCAGTTGGATGAATAAATAACAAAAACCAACTATATGCTGCCTACAAGAGACTCACATCAGCTTTAAGGACAAACAGACGGTAGTCTCAAAGGATGAAAAATAGATTCCATGCAAGTGGACATCAAAAGAAAACAGGAATTGCTATATTTATATCAAACAAAATAGACATTAAACTAAAAATGGTAACAAACGCACAAGATTATATAATAGTAAAGGATCAATTCATCAAGAAGATATAATAATTGCAAATATATATGCACCCAAAATCAGAATCTCTAAAGACATTAGCCAATACTGAAATATTTGAAGGGAGAATAGACAACACAATAATAGTAGGGAAGTTCAGTACTCTACTTTCAGCAAGGATAAATCATCAGACAGAAAATGAAGAAGGAAAAGTTGGACTTGAAACATACATTCGACCAAAAGGACTTACAGAACATTCCATTCAACAGCAGTAGCACACACATTCTTCTCAAATGCACACAGAACTTTCCCCAGAAGAGAGCATATGAAAGGACACAACGCAAGTCAGCAAATTTGAAAAGACTGAAATCATGTCAAGTATTTTTTCTTAACACAAAGGTATAAAAGTAGAAATTAACAAGAAAGCTGTGAAATCTAAAAATATGTTGAAAGTAAGCAATACATTTCTTTTTTGTAATTGAATTTATTGGGGTTACATTTTTGTTTGTTGGTTTATTTTATACCACATCTCATCCTCCCATGGGGTCCTCTGAAAATTCTTATTCCAGTGGTGCCCAAGGACCCAACTCCCACGAACAATTCTCCGATGAAACTTTCATTGCTATTTTGTTCCCTGGATGCCGTCTCTGTGTGCTGGTAAATGTTAACTGTCCTATACCCACCACTGTGAAAGGAGTATGTGCCTCTCCGTTTTACTCTTTATTCAGTCTCAGAGATTTCCCTGCTTTGCTTTCTCCTGCCTCCCTAATCTACCACCAATGGGTTTCATGCAATTCTCCTTAGGTCTCTTCCTTTGATTTTAATGTATAAGATTAGCTATAAAACTGCCATTCTCCGGAGCATTTTCTCAACCCATTACGATTTTGTTTCCTGGCAATTATCAGCTTGGTTCATATAAACTCATAAAAATTCTCTACAGGTCTAGACGTTTCTTACATCAACAACTGAATGTTATCTATTATCTCCATTGTTTGAAATGATAATTTTAACATATATTAAATTCTTATGTATATTTAGATCTGTTTCTGTTCTTTTTGGAAGCCAGCATCACACTTTTAAGTTATTTTGATAATAATACACAAGTGTGTATTATTATCAAAATAACCAGAAACTAATGTACCTGGTTTCAAGTTCTTTGTTTAACATTCCCAAAAGAATATGTATTATTCTTTAAGGTTATACATTTCCTGATAAGGTTAAAATTATTTGTCAAGTAGAACAAAACCAAACTCTTCATCAAAACTTTTTATTGTGATTTTGATTGAAATTAAATTTTATAGGATTTTCTGTAAAGGTAAATACAAATATAAAACAATAGAATTTCCCCTGGTGCAAAAGGGGAAAAGACCTTGGCTCCGCTCTTTTCTTAGAGCATTTCCTTGAGAAAATAGTAAATCTTTTCTTTGTCCTTTTCATATGTACTAGTATGTAATCTTTTAAAAAGTAAATAAGCCTGATTATTTTTACAACCCAGGAAACCTCCTTCTAAAGGCCTTGAAGCTATGTCTTTGAAATGTAACTAGCACAGACAATCACTCTATCAGGTGGATTTAAGATAAACTTGGGTAGCAAATGGAACATCCTCTTAAATGGGATATATATATACTAGAGGCCCTGTACACAAAATTTGTGCACGGGAGGGGGAGTCCCTCAGCTCAGCCTGCACTCTCTCGAAATCTGGGACCCCTCGGGGAATGGCCTAAACCAGCAATTGGACATCCCTCTCGCAATCCAGGACTGCTGGCTCCAAACCACTCGCCTGCCTGCCTGATTGCCCCTAACGACTTTGCCTGCCTGCCTGATCACCCCTAACCACTTACCTGCCTGCCTGATCACCCCTAACTGCTTGCATGCCTGCCTGCCTGATCGCCCCTAACTGCCTCTGCCTCAGCCCCAGCTGCCGTGGCTTCATCTGGAAGGACATCTGGAATGATGTCTGGAAGGTCGTGAGGCTGTCTGGTCTAATTAGCATATTATTCTTTTATTATTATAGATATATACCTAACTATATAAAAGTGTGATTTCTGTCTTTGCAAACTCATTAGCAGATGAACTGGGATGCCTATCACAGTTTCCTTTAAAGCTTATTCAATAATAAAAACTTTTCTTCTTTTCTCCATCTGTGAAGAGGATATTTTGGGTTGACAAGAGACATTTTTAATTACTTCCCCAACACCTCTCATCTAGAAAACTGGTGTGTGTGTGTTTGTGTGTGTGTGTGTGTGTGTGTGTGTGTGCCCGTGCATACATATACAGGGTGGGACAAAAGTAGGTTTACAGTTGTTTGTATGGAAAATAATGCAATAATTTATAAATAATAATACAAGAATAAACTTTCCCATAGTTACAACTGTAAACCTACTTTTGCCCCACCCTGTACATATATACACACATACTCAAATGTATGTACATATTTCCTCTATATAAATTGTTTTAAAATTAATTTTATTATTAAAAACTTAATATTTTTGTAACTACTTTGCATGGAAACGCACGTCTACTGCTCACACAAGAGTAAATTGATGTCATAAAGTTACTGACCAGGAAATCAACATTTAGTCCTTAGTGAAAGGACAGTCAAAATATTTTATACCATTGGGATAAAACTAGTAAAAATCTGATAAGAGTGTGCACCTAATTAAGCGTTTTTCTCCCTCTCTCTTTGTAAGTGGTTTGTGTTTTTTAGCTTATCCAAAAGTTTTCTTTATTACAAGTTTCCTGTATCCTGAGATAAAGCCGCCGCTGCAAGGTATTATTCTTGGAATGCGATGTACTGGGTTTCAAGTTCTTTGTTTAACCGATGAATGTTCACTGTCGGACCCCAGGCAGTTCTAATGGTCACCACATGGCCACGGGCAGTTCTCACATTGACTGTGGGCAGTGCTAATGGTCACCGCTCAGAGCAGGACTAATGGTCACCGCACGGGCAGGGCTTGGATGTCCCGCCCCCAGCTGCGGGCTGCGGTTGTCAGCAGCT